AAAGAGTGTCTCAATTCAGCTGGCCTATATTAGAATATGCTTTCAGGGTCAGGAGCAATTCTAAAAAGCTTACTTTGGCTGGATATTCACCATGGAAGTTTCCTCCAGAAACAGTCTCTCCCCTGCTAGCAAAGACCATCTTTTAAAATAGGTTAAGGCTTTCACATAACACTTGGTGATCACTTCAAGTATAACTCTATCCCCAGTTGCTCATCTCTAACATCGAGGTGGTAGCCCTTGTACAAAGGTAGCGTGGAGAGAAGGAGAGGCTTTCCATAGGCAGGTGTTGACACGAAGGGGTACAAAGGTAAACAGAACAAAACAAAAACCTTAAAGATGATTGTGTCCACCCAGCTGGGGCTCAAAGAAAGATGAAGCACGAGATGATGTTCTCTCTTGGGAGGAGAGATCCTCAAGCACCATAACATTACTAATCTGGTGGTCTGCACTTGCCCTCAAAAAGTTTATAACCTGAAACTGAGAACAGAGATCAGGACACCAGTTTAAAAGCAAATTCTGTTTCCTCAATGGGCACTGAGAGCTTGTGCTCCATCGAAGAACCTACTGAATGGAAGATTTTGCTGATGAGCAACCACCAAATTGTTGGAACAATCAATTCCGAGAAAACTTTCAAACCTTCTAGTCACTGATCCTGTGCCAGTGTTCACAGCAAATGGCAGCCAAGAGGTCACTGCAAACCCATTTAAGTCAGTGGCAACTTTGGACTCACCGAACATTAAGACTCTCAGGGATCATTCCACTCCATCATGTATTTTACTTAAGTCAAACAGGAACCCTGACAAAAGCAGCAAAAGACTTTCCAAAGAGCTAATTTTCACCTACTGGACTAAAGACTGTTCACAACCTATTAACTAGGAACTCACTCTGTGTAGGAAAGGTACTGACTTCCAAAGAGGTAGAGGTGCATGTGTTACTTAACAAGTTTGGAATTACCCTTTTCTGTGCATATAACTGTGAGCCTCTTAGACCTAGCTCCTGCCCTTTTCCATGGACCCGCCCCCAACGACAGGCCTTGGTCTTCTCTGAATCCTCATAGCAAGTGACCTCTGCACCAGTTTACAACTTAAGCAACATCTATTGTTCTCTAGTTGTTCCAAATTTGTTTGTTGGCAACTAGGTTATAGCAATTAGAAGTTAACGCCTATAATATCCAGCAACTATGTAATGGATGGTCTATATATGCAACAGAAGATTGAGAAAAATATTCTTTTGGGTAACACCCGTATTGCTGGAGAACTTCCAAATATTAGCCCACTGGAAATTCATCAACAATCAAGAATCTTTCACGGAAAAAGTAAAGGACTTTCAGCTGAAATTTTTGCTGAGGCAAGTGGTGGGGGAAGAATTTAGCAGGGAATGATCCTCCTTCCCTTGGCCAGTAATTTAATGGTATTTTTGTTTATTTGTTTTGCTTTTTATTACTCCGTAAGATACCCTTTCAAGTCTAAATTATGTAAGTGTAGAATGGATGTCTTTGCTCTACAGAAATGAGAGATGAGAGAAGAATGCAGAGCTCATGAATACTAATTCTCCATTTGGGGGTGGATGGTGTTGAGGAGGGTTAGTGAGTTGCGGGGGATTTAGCTTGGGTCTGATTTAACTGTAAAACAACCTGAGAGGACATAAAACGCACATCCTGAAGTAAGCTTGTCAGAGAAGCCACATTGAAAATGTCTAGTGAGAAACCTTATACAGCTGCTCTCTGCTAGCCCGGGCTGTGTAAGGCTTTTAGGGCTTACTTTCTCCAATGTTAAGAACTGAGGCAGATGTGGGGTAGGAGAAATAGATTCCTAAGGAGTTGGATGGTCTTCAAAGGCAGTATTGTCTCTGTGAAGACTTTGCCTGTGTGCCTCCTGACCGATCACATTGACTTCTAGGGGAACTAAGCCATCACAGGACCTTCCATAGCAAAAACAAGATGACGCTGAGATACCCACACCATGAAGGGAAAGAAGGGCTCCATCCTTGAGAGACGGAAGCATTGTTACCCTTGTTTGTACAAATATGGGAACACCGATTTGAATAAACTCCATGTCAGAAATAAACTCAGGATGAGGAAAGCCATAACTCTTTGATCAATACTTAGGTAAGTGTTAAAAGGTTGCCTCCATTTAGTGCCCCATGGTATCACTAGCCCTAGGAAGGTTCACATAAATGCCATCCTACCCAGGGTCTCTACAATCACACTTGTGATGTAGATCTTCATCCTTCTACCGACAACCTCAGCAGTGGGTTTTAGGCCAGAGGTCTTCGTGTAACTCTGCAGCCAATGTTGGAAATACCCCCTTTAATCTTTCATCTGTCAGTTTTGGAAGCACAGCACGTTAGACTCCGAGCCTGAGACTAGGTTCACAGATCTGCCTCTGCCACTTACCAGCTCGGCTCTAGAGCAAGGCATTTAACCTCGGAGCCCAAGTACTTAGTCTATGAAACGGAGCAACAGAGAGGCTACACAAAACGATCACCTAGATCTTAAAATGACCAGCTGGAATTCTATAATCACAGCTCAGTAAACCATCAAAAGATACAGGATTATCTGTTGCACTGTTAATTTCGGTGGTAATGATGTTCTTCACAAATGCTATTGTGTCGTTCACCACACCGTGGATCTAAAAGACAAGATCAAATGAGCTAATACATGGAAGATACTGATAACGGTCCCTGTCACATAGTCTGATATTCTTATTAGAATAGCAAGAACATTTAAACTGGGATTTATTCTTACTGTAGAGCTAATTTGGCAATTCTTCCCCATAGACGTTTTCAGTCTAGCTAACCTAGAACAGAACTTGCTGAGAACAAGGAAAAGAGGGTATTTATGCTAGGGAGGACTCTTTAGTACCCTACAGATTGGAACTTGGTACAACCTGAAATATTGTTTCACTCTTGAGATGCATGTTAATCCGTCACTTAACCAATTGCCATTTGCAAATGAGTTGAAACATCTGCAATATAGGTTGACTCATGCCAACCCAGGTCATCTGCATTTTATATTTAAAGTTATGACTCACAGATTCATTTATAATGGTTTATGTCTGCCTATTAAATGCAGATAAGATCTAACCATGGATATGCCCTTGAATTGTGGTTAGATTTTCCCATGAACGTTCCTGGCAGACTGGTTCTAATTCTATCTAACAGGTAGAGCCAGTAAAACTCCATTAACTGGTGAGGATGATGCTATTACTAAGAATTTTTTAAAGTTAGGGCACTAAACCAAAACAACAAGCTGTCCGTCGGACTTCTCTACACGGGGGTTGAGCAAAGTAATTCAAAGGGAAACAAGCAGCTTACCACGTAGAACAGAAACTTTACGATAATTGGAAAGTCGAATTATTACATAGACATCATTTTTAATGGAGGCAGTAATGAAATCTGGACTACCATTGACCATTACATGACTTTCTGACACCTTCCTCTCTTTCTATCCCCCACCCCGGCAAACTGGGGGAAAGGATAGAAACTTGTTAGCTTTTCTGTTTACCTGTGGACAGCAGCGCAAGGTGTAAGCATCCTGAACACGATCACAGAACCTGTGACTTTCTGTGGAAAAGATAGAGGGATGGCAGGGGGCATGTTAGCAGTTCTTTCCAATAATTTCCAAAAGCAAATAAGCTCACTCGCCTAGGCACGCCCAGACCTGCTATTTCAGATGGGTGGTGATCTGAGTCCAAGAGGGACCGAAACCGAAAAGCGACTTCAACTTGCCCACGATGAGGGCGAACAGCGTGAATGTCTAGAATTGATGAAAGAGGAAAAGTCTGAGCAATTCTTACATTGAATGAACTACCATCGCTGGTACAGAACCATCCACTGTGCTGACACCGCCCTCAAAAGTCCAGGGATCCTTAACCATCACTCAGGATTAGAAACTTAACTCCAAAGCAAGATTTTCCTTATGGACTTTATTCTTTCTACTTTAAATATCTGAGTGCAAACTATGTGTTGAGATCTCTGGGAATTCAACTCAAGACACTGGGCCTACCCTAAAAAGATTTAGGCTCATAATGGAAGGGAGCTCAATAGTGGCCTAATTTAACGGAGTCATTTTTGGATAGTGTTTTTGGTCCTACTACATATGAGAGTAGGGAGTCTTTCCAAGTCATTATTTTCTAGAAAAGCTATCACTTCTACAGTTTTTCTCTCCCGATCTTCAAATGGGGATCAGCGCTGATCCTACTCTAGTTCTCAAATCCTGCCCATAGATTCTTAAGACAACGTGTAGTTTGATGGGAGTCAGAGCTGGTGATCTGGGGCAGGTCACTTAACCCTCTGGGTCAGCATTTGTCTGTGAAACACGGTCGTTTCAAGGGTCAAGTGTGGCGTAACTTAGATGAAGCTGCAGCAGTCCTACGAAGGCACAGGCGCTTGGATTTCCTTCTTCCGTACCATCTACCCCCACCACTCCCACGTCTGAACACCTTGACCAGCCTCCCCTCCCCCCCTGCACCCGAGCTCTGCCTGAATGAATAGCAAACCAACGGAAGAGCCATGCTGACCAGTATCGAAGGCTTTGGTGGTGCCCTTCAACACCTCGAGGGTCAAGGACGCCACTATGTCAGCCTGCCGAGCAATGGCACTGGCTCTCTCCACAGCTTCACAGCCCAGGGAGGTGATCATCTGCGTCCCGTTGATGAGCGCCAGACCCTTTGTGGAAGGGGAGAGAAGTTTCCAAACGCTGTTTGTTGTAACAAGTGTATGTGCAAGTTGATTTCATATCATTTGCTTTCATAAGAGAAAAGTTAGCCTGTCAGCCGAATGATGTTGATCCATGGTTTCTAAAGTGCAGGGCAGTAATGCTTATTTAAGTATGCAAGGATGAAGTGCCATCACATGTGAAATCATTAGTATAAATCTAGCAAACGGAATAGCTGTTAAGTAATCCGTCATTAAGGCAGCAGTGGTGCTCCAATGTAGATGGCATATCAAATCTTTAGCTCTTAATTATGCTGCATTTCTTCTTCAACTTCTCATCATTATAGACAAGACACCTTGAAAAATTTCTGGTCCGAGACTCTTGGCTTAGAGCATCCCAAGGGCTGTTGGCTTATAGCATCTCTTAGGGGTCCTTAGAGATCCTGATTTGAAGTTTAAGTTCTTCTGTAAAAGAACCCCTAGGCATCTGTGGCCTGAAGAGTCTTTGCAGTGCTTACGGCAGAGCCCTTTCTTCAGTGCCCAACTTAAGCAAACATGGAAGCTATGTTTATTTTAAGAAACCAGTGAGGCTGATATTAAGACTGAAAATAGCTATTAAGTAAAGATTTGTTAAAGCAAACAAAGTTTCCTTAGTCTCCTTACCTCTTTTGGCTTCAAAACAATTGGTTTCAATCCATGAGCTGCCAGGACCTGTAGAATGATTTAAAAGGTAAAAATGGGTATCAAATGAAAGACCAGCATATTTCTAATTTCATGTGGAATCCAGTAAAAAGGATTTTTAAGCCCAAAGGTCTGTCTCATAAAAGATTAGACCTGCGTGGATTGGTTCTGTTTATCTTCGCTGGTCTATCCTCTAGTTCTGTTCTTTACTCTGCAAGCAGACTTAGCTTTCAAGTAATTTTTGTACCTACATCAGGGGCTAGTGTCTACAAAATCAACCCTGAATGTTGGTTTCTAGGTCCTTTGCATTCAGTTTCCACTTCAGTGATTCACTTTTTTTTTTACTGCTGCTTCCTGAGCAGATGCACATCCAGATGCACGTGCGCTAAGGCTGAGCTCCAAACTCTGTCCACATTCCCTGGCCTCTAGAGCTTGACCTAAAAAGTCCTCCACCCTCGTCCTCCTTGTCTGAACACTAGCAGAGCCTCAGAGCAGGGCTTCTCACTTGTATGGCAAATGTGTGAGCACCAGTGGAGAGGGACTTATGGGCCCAAGAGATGGACACAGAATCCTGAGGGGAAATGGGCAGAATGGTCTTCCCCTGAAATAAAAGAAGTGAAAGCAAATCACTAGGTTAAGGTCCCTCTAGGGAAGAAGGAAGACACAGGGGCAGGACCACTGACTCTGTCAATTTCACAAGCTTATTAGAATATCTATCACGTGATTAACTCTCTCCCAGGAGTGGGGCTGAGGGTAGGAAAAATGGAGACAGACAAGCTCAAGGGCAAACACAGTCATAGTATGTTAAGTGTAACAGGAGGTAGGAAGTGGGTAAGGTTCCGTGGAAAATAATCACATAAGATGCTGGGAGGGCACAAAGGAGGGCCAAAAGGGGCTTGACGGGGTGGGCCTATAGGGAAAAGAACCAGAAGAGCAGAGAGGGAAGTTTCTCAGAGGACTTATCAGAAGCAGGAAGAGAAGAAGGGACATGGCTGGTCCCTCTGCCTATAGGACACAGGGCACTCCAGCCGCAGGCCACCTCTCGCTTCTGTGATGTACGGTGTTGCTGGGGAAGGATTTGGCTGGGGGGTGTGGGTATGACAAGCAAGACTCTTGTAAGCCACTTTAATTTTAGATACCACCCTGAGGGCAGTGAGAAGCATTGCACGTTTTGGCCAGGACACGCTTGGATTTGCTGAGTGAAGGTGGTTGTGGGAACACTGTACATAGAGAAGTAATCAAGGTCAGTCTGCATAGAAGGAAGGTGATCTAGAACCCAAACCCCCGAAGGACTATCTGTTCCCTTAACTTCTTCCTCCTTGGTCCTCTGCCCCTTCAGTTACTGTTAGGGGACCTCCCAGCAAGAGATCAGAGACGACACTTCAAACAGTTCTTTGGGCTGCTCTGATGAATTTGGAGATGAATGAAGAAAACGTTAAAGCTTTATCAAAAACAAGCCTTTCTGATCGGCCACCAGATGAGAGCTTGGGGGAGAAGTGGGGAGTGGAGCCTCCTTTCCAGAGGTTATAAGTCAGTGCTATGATCCACAGCTCTGTACCTATTAGACCAGCAAGTAAATAAACCTGCAACAACATGTGACCTCCTCGGCAGGCACTGGACATGTTTTAGATGCAGAATAAATTCCCGCAATTAACGCTGGCTGCTGTACCTTTTTACCAAGGTGATCACCAAGTCCAGAAGGTTGACAGTTGCACAGGGAAGCTAAGAGCCTTGCCTAGTTTGACATCTGTACTGCGCTAAGGCTGAGCTCCTGACTCTGTCCACACTTCTAAGCTTCAGTTGTCACAGCCATAGAATAGGGTTAACGTTGGCTCCCTTGTGGGGCTGCTGTAAGGATGGAGTGCTAGAAAGCATGCAAGTACACCTGGTGTCCAGCCCCGGGAAATTACTGCATGTGGAAGCTGTTATTAAAATCTTACGTATTTAGCGTCAGCCCAGCCACTCTTCGGAGACCACATCTTCCCTTCCCCAATTAGCCCAAGAGCAAGATGAGAGAGTGGGGCAAGGTCTCCACTGGCACCAACAGTTCCTTTCTCCGGAACATAGGGCAGGCAGGAGGCTGGGAGAGAAGGAGGCACCGGTTACTTCAAGAGTGCTTCATTCTGGCCATCCTCGCTTTAGGGAAAG